GGTGTGGGGGGGCCTGCTGGGCTGCTCTGGGGGTCAGGGCTGTGTGGGGGTGCTATGGGGAGCAGGCGAGGGGTGTTATAGGGGACACTGGGGGAGCAGAGGTGATGGGGGACAGGGGTGATGTAGGGGTACACTGGGTGCTATGGGGGTCAGGGCTGTGTGGGGGTGCTATGGGGAGCAGGCGAGGGGTGTTATAGGGGACACTGGGGGAGCAGAGGTGATGGGGGACAGGGGTGATGTAGGGGTACACTGGGTGCTATGGGGGTCAGGGCTGTGTGGGGGTGCTATGGGGAGCAGGCGAGGGGTGTTATAGGGGACACTGGGGGAGCAGAGGTGATGGGGGACAGGGGTGATGTAGGGGTACACTGGGTGCTATGGGGGTCAGGGCTGTGTGGGGGTGCTATGGGGAGCAGGCGAGGGGTGTTATAGGGGACACTGGGGGAGCAGAGGTGATGGGGGACAGGGGTGATGTAGGGGTACACTGGGTGCTATGGGGGTCAGGGCTGTGTGGGGGTGCTATGGGGAGCAGGCGAGGGGTGTTATAGGGGACACTGGGGGAGCAGAGGTGATGGGGGACAGGGGTGATGTAGGGGTACACTGGGTGCTATGGGGGTCAGGGCTGTGTGGGGGTGCTATGGGGAGCAGGCGAGGGGTGTTATAGGGGACACTGGGGGAGCAGAGGTGATGGGGGACAGGGGTGATGTAGGGGTACACTGGGTGCTATGGGGGTCAGGGCTGTGTGGGGGTGCTATGGGGAGCAGGCGAGGGGTGTTATAGGGGACACTGGGGGAGCAGAGGTGATGGGGGACAGGGGTGATGTAGGGGTACACTGGGTGCTATGGGGGTCAGGGCTGTGTGGGGGTGCTATGGGGAGCAGGCGAGGGGTGTTATAGGGGACACTGGGGGAGCAGAGGTGATGGGGGACAGGGGTGATGTAGGGGTACACTGGGTGCTATGGGGGTCAGGGCTGTGTGGGGGTGCTATGGGGAGCAGGCGAGGGGTGTTATAGGGGACACTGGGGGAGCAGAGGTGATGGGGGACAGGGGTGATGTAGGGGTACACTGGGTGCTATGGGGGTCAGGGCTGTGTGGGGGTGCTATGGGGAGCAGGCGAGGGGTGTTATAGGGGACACTGGGGGAGCAGAGGTGATGGGGGACAGGGGTGATGTAGGGGTACACTGGGTGCTATGGGGGTCAGGGCTGTGTGGGGGTGCTATGGGGAGCAGGCGAGGGGTGTTATAGGGGACACTGGGGGAGCAGAGGTGATGGGGGACAGGGGTGATGTAGGGGTACACTGGGTGCTATGGGGGTCAGGGCTGTGTGGGGGTGCTATGGGGAGCCCCCCCCATCATCCCCCCCATTCCCCAGCTCCTGTCCGACTTCACCTGCTGAGGGTGAAGCTCCCGCCCATGCAATGGCCTTTCCCATGGTTTCTGTGACCAGAGCTTCCCTCTTGGGCCTCCTGGACCAGCCCACGCAGCGTGGGCCCGATTCGCCCCCAGAGCCATGGCGGGGGCGTCACCCGGTACAGCCCCTACCTGGGGCGCATGGCACCAGGGGGAGCTGTAGGGACTGCGGGAGCCAGCTCCGCTCAGCTTCAGAGCCCGGTTCCGGCAGCTAGGTCAGGGCAGGGGGAACAAGGCTCAGGCTTTCCGCGCTGAAGTTCCCTTTGCTAGAGGGGAGGGGGCTCCTAGAGGTGGGGGGTTCAGGCTGGTGGCAGTAGGGGCTAGCAGAGAGTGCGGGGGCAGGCCCCGTGTCCTGGGGAGCAAAGAGCCTTCCCCAAGACCCAGCCAGTCTTCCATCTTTTCTTAGAGCCGGGGGGAAGGGAAACAAGCCAGCCGGGGGGGCCCTGGGGTGGCCACGCTGCAGGGACTGGTGTATGCACAGTGCGTGGGCACAGAGGACTTTGGTTAATGGATACCTGTGAAGTGGCCTTCAGCAGTGTCTCCCTGCCTGCTGT